AGTTCACTCTAGGCAATTTAGAGAAACCTGCAAAGATTGAATCAATTCAGCCTCAGGCTTTTTTGACTGTCCATACTTAGCCTTCAAGTTTAATGACTAAAGAGGTTAGGGTGTACGTTTCCACACTTTTAGAGAAGCGAGCATCTGTGATCAGGATTTTTTGCCAGTTAGACAGCATAAAAACATAAATATTTCAGCTGTTCTCTTTGCAGAGTCTATCTGATGTTCACAAATACTGCTTGTTCCTCTGTTCCTCAGATGGTTTTGTAGTAAGTTCATAGCAACGTATGTGTAAAACCTGACAGATGGCTCTTGCAAACTTTTGAATTAATAGATGCCCTTGCATAGGAGTGTTTCATAATTATTTTGTTCATCCTCAAGCTGTGGGAGGTGAAAGGGGAGCAGGTGCTGCAGGTCATTTTACGTAGGACATGATGAAACTGTGCCTTACCAAGCACAGCCACAAGCATTGGAGACTGGTCCAAAACTTACTAGAATTGGTGGGAAAACTTCTATCCACTTATTTATTTTTGGATTATGACCAGGAAAATAGAAACGAGTAGAGAGCTCCAGGAAGAAGGTGGAATTAATAAATTAGCTGAGTTCTGTGGCCAAGGGGCTTGTGTGGCGAGCTGGGTATTAGACGATGGAGAAGCCTGAGCTTCTCAGCTCTGGAAATGGCAGTTCTTGGGGGCTTGAGAAAATGTTGGGGATGGTCCTGCTTTGAGCAAGAAGTCAGACTAGATGACCTCCTGAGGTCCCTTCCAGCCTTAATTTTCTATGATTCTATGAAATTTGACAGTGAATGTCACTTTACCTTTATTTTTTAAATGATTTTAAAATACTTTTCACAAAAAATACAAAAACTGAGTTCCCAGCTCAGATATGTTCAAATTTTAGCTTTACTCCACTAAAAAAGAAAGCTTTGAACTGTAATCAGATGCCTTGTTTGTTTGTTTGTTAATTGTAATGGACTAAAACCATATGAATGGTGAACTGCAAATAATATGGGGCATGTGAGATGCATAAATTAGTCCTGAACCTTGCTTCTGAGGACTTCTTTTTTGATTAAGCATCAATATATAACACTCTGGATTTGGGAAAGAGAAATAATTAATTGACTGGACATCATTCAATGAAGTTAGCGTGTAGTTACATAAATTTAATGAACTAGTAATACAAGGTACAACATAAATTAAGAAATGTAACCTCAGCTGTGACATTGGTACTATCTGCTATTCTGTAAACTTCGCTGCAACTCTCGTGTGCCAGATGTATTTTTAGATCTTTTTTTTTTCTTGTTCTTCTTATCCAAGTCTCTGGCATTTTAGACCTACGCTCATTTTGAAAAATTTAATGACAACTTTGTCAGTAAAGGATGTGAGTTTTACCAGCATAGTTACATTGGTCCCTGGTGCAGACAAAATATGAAGGATTATTGTTTATATACATGTACTGTTGGTATACATGTATGGAGGTTTGCCACTTTAATTATGCTGAAATAGTTTTAACAAGGCAATACCCTTGGACATAAATATTATTATTATGTTTTTAAGCATAGTATTTTTAAGGCCTCCATTTCAAGTGAGAAGTGTGCGTACTTAATACTTAATTTAGATGAGGAATTGAGCCACAATCTATGGATAAAACTCATATGCTGTCAGATTCTGGCAGAGGAGGTTTCCCACATTCTGGGTAGGTGCTCTAACTACTGAGATATTGTAGAAAAGGCAAGTACTGTTGTTCCATCATCGTGGAAACTGTATTTTAAAAGAAAGTAGTAGCTGTTTCTGCACTTTGGGTAGAGCCCAGTCCAGTAGATGTGCTCAAAATATTGAATTAAGCCCTTGGGGAGGGGTAAGCAGGTAAATTCATGCTTTATGGATTCCAACAGGGTTTAGGTATGAGAAACTGGGGCTGCTCAGACCCAGTGGTGACACATAGGGGGTGTACGTAGGTGCACGTGCACCCCAAGTGTGGCAATGCACCCCCTACGAAAAGGCGCCACCAACACTGTTGGCGGTGTCTGTGAGTGGTCGCTGCTCACCACCCCCGCTGCCGATGCTGCCGGCGGTGTCTACAGGGGCATCAGCGATTGCCGCTGGCCGCCACCAATGCTGTCAGCGGTGTCTGCAGGTGGTTGCTGACCCCTGGTCGACGCTCACCACCCCACCCCCCCACCGCCAACAGCGCCAGCGGTGTCTGTGGGAGCTCCCTGCTTACTGCTGTCGTGCTCCCGCTGCCATTGACACCAGCACCGCCGTGTCCCCCCAGCCACTGGGGGCATGTGTCATTCATGCTTAGACCCCTTAAAACTGAGACACTATGGAGTAGACACAGAAACAAATCTTTCAATGCTTAGCAGACTTTAATCAAAACTGAGATATCTCTGGAGTTGATACACCTTCCAAATTAGGCAGCAGCTCAGCCAGGGTTTCAAGGAGCACAATTCTGTATTTGGGCACCTAAAACCCCTTTTTGATTCTGGGTCCGAGTTACTTACACAAGACATGAAACAAGTTTATAGCAGAACTTGCACCTAGGGGGATGGCGGGAGCACGGAGCTCAGGTGGGCTGGGTGTTGGTGTGATGGAGGGTGGGGGACCCCCCACTTTTGCTCCCTCCCCAAGTGCAATGCCCCTGCCAATGGCAGCAGCAGCAGCAGACAGCAGATGCTTGTGGCCCACACAGGCACTACCACCTGGCAGCACAGCTCTGGCCAGTGCTGCATGTGGCAGCAAGGAGCGCAGCCAGGCTGGCCCGCTTCTATTGCACAGGGCTCCCCAGGGTGCACATGCAGCTCCAGCCACTCACGTGCCACTGGGAGAAGCCCTGTGCGATGGAGTTGGCTGCCTTCCCCACTCCTTGCCACAACGGACGGGGGGAACGGGGCTTCTTACCACCACCACCACCACCAGAGTCCCAGCACCTGCACGTGGGGAAGGCAGCTGGCTCCATAGTGAGGGGCTTCCCCTGGTGGTACATGAGTGCCAGGAGCTGCACGTGCACCACAGGGAGACCCTCATGATAGAGACGGGCTGGCCTGGCTGCACTCCTTGTCACCATGTGCAACGCTGCCAGATCTGTGCACCACTGGGCAGCAGCACTTACGCGGGCCACAAGCATCCCCAGCATCCCCGCCTGCTGCTGCTGCTGCCACCAGTGGCAGGGGCTGTGCACTATGGAGAGGAGTGTGTGGGGGGTCCCAACACCCCCCACCCTCCCTCACACCCCACACGCCCACACCCTGCCCTCACAATCTCCCAACATCCCCTATGCCCCCCCCACACACACAAACCCTACCATATATACACACACACACTCCAAACACACCCCACAAACAATATACAAGAGTAAGGCTTTATTTTTGCACTATTATGCAATCACCTGTATATACACTATGCAAAAATCACGACAAAAATTTTTTTTTGTAATAAAATTAAAGTATGTTATAGTAGATGTTTGACTTTTAGTGTATGATTTGTATTTTTTGTATTTGTATTTTTAGTGTATGGTTTGTATTTTTTCTGGTTCCAAGATGGCAACCCTCCCCTCCCAAAAGGAGTACTTCTGGGGGCAAGGAGACGGACTTCTGATGGCAAAGGACAGGGGTTAGGGGTGGGACTACCTGTCCCAAGATGGCAAATGTGTGTGTGTGGGGTGGGGTGGTGGGGTGGGGGGGCCCTTGTCAAAGGGTAGGGCTACCCTTGCAGTCCTGGACAGCTCACCAAAACTCATTAAGTGGCCCTCCAGCTGAAATAATTGCCCACCCTTGGTCTGGGCACAGATCATGTTTTCTTAACAAGTTCACATAAAACATCTCCACTGCAGAGCAGGGAGCAGAAAATACCAGTACTGCTCTCCTGGTTTTGCTTTGGCAAAATCCACCTTTTATATTTGGAGAGAGAGAAGTGATGAATTGCCATACAACGTAATGGTTCATTGTTGCAAAAGCAGTAATACTTTGTAATTGTGATGCACGCTTTTCATGAAAAGATATCAAATCACTACAAAAATCAGGTAGTTGAGTATTCTCTCTCCTTTCCTGATGTCACACAGAAAACTTACCCTGTGAGGTAACAAAACTTGTGTGACACTAAGGTGCTCAAGAACCATGCATATTTCATGAACTTTAATTGTGATAGTCACTTGCTATATGCCCCTGCGACAGGATTCACTTGCTGTATGCCCCTGTGATGCCCCCGGTGGACACGTGGTTACTGCTTCCTCCAGCCCATCCCTGTTGTTTCGCTTAATGCCATTCAAAGGGCTTGGGAGGCTGCCCCCACGTCTTACAGCAGGTCCACCACAAACTTGCCACTTGGACAATTAGTTGTGGCCCTTCAGGCCCTGTTAGCATGACAGAACACCAGGCGTTTTATGAGCTGTTTGTGGCCTCTGTCCATTCCTATAGCCATGCCCATGACTTGCAGATGTCACTCCAAATTTCCTCACACCGTCTTGTACAGGCTTCATCCCTCTTGGCCTTGGCCCACCAGTTACTCTAGCTGCAGACTCCCAAACCGGGGCCCACTGATATTGGCCTGGCTTCTCAGTCCTAGCCTTATCATCAGCTGCTGCCTAGCCCTTGTCTATCCTTCTGGGCACAGGCCCTCGCCTTCTTCAGCTTGAGGGAACCTGTACCCACTCCCTGGGTCAGGCTTGAGGCCCCTCTTCAGTTTCTGCTGGTCTTAGTCTCCCTAACTCGAGCCCCTCCTATGGCAACATCCAACTCTGGCATGTTGAAAGGCTAGCCTACTACTCTTTACCCTTTAAGTAACGGGGGCCTTTGGCTCCCTGCTGCAGCCCCTTCCCATATCATTTTACTTTTCTCTGTAAAACATATATAGATTATAGGTTCAAGGAGCATTTATTGCAACTTATGTGCCATACATATCTATTAGGCAACCTTCTAACAGATAGCATGTCTTCAATTAAAAGGACCAAATGTGCAGAAGGAATTCAGCGTGAGGGTAAAGCAAATGCAAACTCATACTCACCCTCAGCAAAAAACTTGTCAGCTTGATTCAGGGCAGAAAAGTCATCTGGAGGTTTAGAATAATAAAATAAAAAAAAGGTCTTAGAAAACTTAACATAAAATAATTCATCAATCTAAAAACCAACTAAGACAAAGTAATACAAGCCCATGGAATGTAATTAGGAAGAGAAAGACTTTTTGCCTTTAGACCTGAGCCTCTTGTTTGAAAATTCCCAAGTGCTCTACTGGCATTCATTAAGAATTACAACCAGCTTGTGGTCCTGGTGGGTATCCTAACCAAGCAGGAAACAAATATAATTAACCACTACAATGTCCTTTGAACAGAGTGCAGTTCAACTTACCAGATAATCTATTTAGGGCTTTACATACTGTAAGACAAGGGTGTAATAAAATCTGCATGTTCTAGACTCCTGTTGCCACAACCTTGATGTTGTCAGTCTCCAGGGTTGAACTAGTGGTGACTTGTAGCTGGACATTCTCAAATTATTAAACCTGAGTATTAATAATATACTAGCTACAGTTCAACTAAGAATAGGCTACATGGTGCGGGTCACAGTACAAGCCCAGAGCAGCAAAGAGTTCCTGCCTCAAAGAGCTCACATGCCAAACAGGCAACACAGACACAAGAGGCAGGCAGTACAAGTAGAGAAAACCAGGTGAGGGCAGCAAATATTTGTTAGTTCCAAGATTTTGAGGGGTGGATAGTTAGGGGATGACCATCTAAATGGAAAGCAAAATGGACTGAGGAGGACAGGACGGGAAGAGAGGGTAAGTGGGAAAGTGGCAAGGGCAGCATCAGTAGAGAGAGCCAGAGAGGCCTGGAGCAAATACCCAATTGGAACAGGGCACAGACAATTCTCGGGACGTTCTGCACCTCTTCTGGCTGCTTCTGCATCTGTTCCCACCTGCTGCAGCATCTGGTTGTCAGCTCTTGGTGGTTTTCTTCCAAGGCTATGCAGCAAGGCACAGTGCCCCTGCAGTGAGGGAGGGAGTGGGGCTGGGGCAGGCACTGCCCAGCCGGGGAGGCGTGGAACAGAGCCGCTAGCGGCTCATCTGGGGGGGGCAGGAGAGGGGTGGCTCCTGCACACCCCGGGAGGTCATGTGGGGTGTGTGCCCCCAGTTCTGCGCGCCAGGCAAGGGCAGGCTGCTACTGAGGGCTGGGGTGGCACCAGGCTTTTCCCGGTGGGGGGTGGGCCGGGGCTACGCTTGGGGCAGGCGGTAGCAGTACTGGGAGGGATGCTACAGGGGGAGGGGAGGCTGCAGTCACCCCAAAATTTGCCATAGCCCCCTCTCCCTGTGCTGCCGCCCACCCCAAGTGCAGCTGGGCCCAACCCCGCTCCAGGAAGAGCCCAGCACCGCCCCCAGCCTGCAAATCCAAGGGCACATGCCTCCCAGGGTGTACGGAGCAGAGGGAGCCATCGCCCCTCCCCCCGACAAACCACTCATGGCTCCATCCCATGCCCTATCTGGCCCTGCCCTGCCCTGCCCCACCCGGGCAGTGCCTGCCCCTGGCTCAGTCCCAGCCCCACTCCGTCCCTCACAGCGGAGACCTTGATTCTGGCCACCTGCGTTCTGCACCGTGCGCGAGCATGTGGCATTTATTAGCCACATTATCGGCCATGTCAGCCAAAAATAGCCAATTGCCCATAGAGTCAATTTTCCTTATTGTGGTGCCAATCCAATATGGGGCCAGTGTATCGGTGCACCTCTAGTTTAGACATTAAAATAAGCTCACGGAATCAGAGAAAACAAGGGTTGAAAGGGACCTCAGGTCATCTAGGTGAACCTCTGCTCAAAACAGGATCATGCCAGCTAAATCATCCCAGCCAAGGCTTTGTCAAGCCAGGCCCTAAAAACCTCCAAGTATGGGGATTCCACCACCGCTCCAGGTAACCTGTTCCCAGAGCCGTTCCCAGGGGCATGCGGGGCGCAGCGCATCAGCCCTCTGGGGCCGGGGCGCAGTGTGTGTGCGCTTGTGTGTGTAGGAGGTGGCAAACGCAGAGCGGGGGAGGGAAAGGGGGGCGAGTGGCCGGAGCGTGGAGCCGGCGGGGCCTGTACAGCACTGCCCATGGGGCTCGGGGTGATCCCCCTGATTCGGCCCCGCTAGGGACAGCCCTGCCTGTTCCAGTGCTTCACCACTCTCCTAGTGAGACAGTTTTTCCTAACATCCAATGTAAACCTCCCTTGCCGCAACTTGACTCGTCTGGGGCTGTATCCTGTATTCCTGAAGTCTATTACAGCGCACAGGCTGCAAAGATCTGCTTTTGGGACCCTTGAATGTACTTGTCAGTCCTACACGGTGTGGCAAACAACTTACCTAGGGCAGGAAATGGGACTGAAATCAGATGCGTTTGCTGAAGCCTGGCATAGGTGTCACAGCCACTGGGGTTTTCATGCTTGTGGTCCCAAAAAAGCCTCCTTGGCAGGAGGGCTCTTGAGGGGGCTGACTTCAGACCGCCCAGCTCCAGCCAGCTTGCCCCCACCTCACCAGATGTCTCCACTGAGCCCTGGGCCCGGTGCCGCCTGCAGGCATCTCGTGCACTGCTCGCAGCTGGGGCAAACGTGCTGGGAAGGGCAGTCACTCTTCGCTGGCCCCGAGCAGGTGAAATGCACCCGGCCTCTAACCACGTCTCTGCCGGGTGGGGGGGCGGGCTCAGCCCGCGCTCCTGAGCCTGCTCCTCACAGCAGTGCCTGGGCCGCCCCGGCTGCGTGTGGGGCGGCG